ACGAATATTTTGGTGATTTTTCTTCAACATCTGCTCAAGATCCGTATGATACCGAGTCCAGTAAAACATATACAAACGAAAACCACACAACAACAAATTCAGAGCCATCTCAAGAAGGTAGATGTTACCAGCTCTCTGGTAGTTTCAAACGAAGCAACAAAAGAGCTCAACTCTGTCGCTGTGAATAAACATAGCCAAAATACGCCACACTGCACAAAATAGTGAATGAACGAACGTCTTACCATAGGGCAGTTGAATGTTTTTCTTTTGGGAACCAGCCATCGAAAATGTCAGTGATATAATGATTTGCAAAATTAAAGAGTTCAAAACACCTGACTCAGCTGTGAGCTGTAAACACATCTTCGAGCTGTAATAATGGTTTCTTTATTTGAATGATCACAAAAGATTGAAAGGTGTTTTGGCTATTGTCATGTATGACTTCAACACTACTTTAATGCAAACAAAACTAACAATGCAAACAAAACTACACCACGTACAAACTGCAAAAGTATACGTATAGTACAAGTTCTGAATCAAAATATCCCACCCTGCTCAGTTATATTAGGGCTAATTGTTGCTGTCCGAGAAGAATTCGCTAATCAACCGTGAAAAAGTGGCAGAAGGACACTTCCAGCATCAAGCGCAACCGAACGTTCATTATTTAACTGTAAAAAATGTAATTTTTTTCAGTTGAAAGGAAGCAACTCATGAGCTTGTTGAAATTCAAAAGCGCTGGGCTGGAGTTTCAGCAGAAGAGGGAAGGGAGGGGAGGGGGGGGGGGTCACACCACTAACTTTCGAAAATTATGAAATTTTTCGGGCAGAACGCTCATGATTAGGGGCAAGGGCAACAGAGTTTTACAAAATAGCCCTTGTCGTCATTTGGGTTTTATCGGCTGTCTTAACAGCAACTATGGCAATAGAAGAGCCTTTATTTCATCGCCTTTAACGGCACAGGTGATCACAACGGCGACCTTCGCGATAGTTGTCTGTAACTTATCCATTTGGATGTCATTTCGACGGAGAAAGCGACGTCAACTGGGAATTGCTGCCGTCAGACGAGACAGCAGCTTAGCAGTTACTCTGCTTATGGTAACAGGATTTTCCTAATTGGCTGGGGTATTCCCACGTTTTATCTCTGTATTTCTCAGTAGGAGATATGCAAAAATTGCTACAAGCCAACCCCGACAGTTTGCAGATACGTACTACTTGTGTCTGTTGTCCAGTCGCTTATCAACCGACTTATTTACTCCTTGAGATTGCCTACGTTTAGAGTTAGCTTGAGAGTAAGGTCAATACGAGACGCGGGGAATTTCGAGTCAAAAAGGTATCCAGGGAAAAGACAAATAACAACAGAAATTAAAATTGCCAACGCTTAATTGAAGACTTGAGTTTAACGAGTGAGTTAATGATCGCATGATATGCATGCTCTACGGAGAAGTTCCTCTTACTTTTTGACTCTGTAACCGTATACTGTACAACGATGGTCTAAGAGCATGAAACAACATTAAAAAATGGTATCAGATGCTGCCCCAGATCAAAGAAGAAAAAAACTAGTGAGGGTTTTCATGTAAATGAAGACAACCTGAACCGAAGGATATCTTGAAATCTTATAACAGTATATTTTTTCGAGCTGAATTAAAAATTATTTAAAGATATTCCCCTTACAAAATACAGTCTTCAGATTGATTACTGAAACTAGACTAAGAGGACAACTAATGCCTGAACTGACAACTTATTTATTTATGTTTATTTATTTATTTGTTATTTATTTATTTATCCATCGATTTATTTATTTATTAGTTAATTTATTTTTTCTGTCTATAAAATGTACAAATAAAAGTTCTTGTTGTTGTACATAGACAACGGTGCTTTATTAAAACTTACAAAATCGCGCGGTTAATCTTTTGAAAATCGAAGTACACTCTTAAGTAAAAAGTAATGTTCAATGCACGTAATTCTATGGCGGGTTTTCTTGACTTTCCTTGAGCGTGATTGTCAAAAATATGGGTAGCAGTTGAACAGTGAAAGAACTTGGCCTTCCCTTCTCAACTCTTGGTATAAAAATAATTGATAACTGAAGTAACATACTTCTCCACTCATGTAAGCGTACTGCGCCTTCAGTAACATGCGGACTCTAAAATTCAAAGCTCAACCGACAAATGTATTTTTCGCTACCGTCAATCAAATGTTCGGCGGATCCTTCCCGCTTCCGACTATAGTGCCGAGCGCGCGGTAATCAAATCATTGAGCACAGTTCAAACAACGAAACAGTGCTCGGCAGTAGTCGGAAGCTAGGAAAGGCGCAGTAACAAAGCATCTCTTCTTGCGGTTCCTTTTAGGGGTAAATGGTTTTCATTTAAAGGCTAACACTTGCATCCTTAGACTACGGCTACGTCTGAGTATAGTGCTAAATTCGTTATTTTCTGTGTAAATCTCCTTATCAAGTCATTGGCGAACTACATGTGGCTGAGTAAGTTAGAAAGCGAATAAGGTACATTATACTCAAGCCAGTGTTTGGACCTGTGTCGAACCGTAACATTACTCCTTAAAGTATGAACTGGGCGTCAGAATTATAGATTTTCATGAACACAGCGCAGGGAACAGCCGTTCTTAATGGTGTGCTTTCAAAACGGTTTCCTTGAATTGTTTTGAAACTAATACAAAATAGTGATTAGGCACAAATTTTTAAATATTTAATGATGCAGTGTACCTTCTGAAAGAGAACTAGCCGGCTCTATATGTTTAAGCTTTGAATGCTTATCAGGAAACTAAAATAGTATTGCAATAAACATCATTTGACGAGTTAATAAATGATTTAGTTTACAGCGGCAAACTTCAGTTATTGGCTGTATTAATGCACAGGCCAACGAAAACAGAGATTCAGCTTTATTTTATATGGAATTTTAAGGTGTCTTAATCAGTCAATTTTGAGCGACCCATACGAGGATTTCAAACATTACTGAAATTAAAATTTGACTCTAACAATAAGAATATGAATTTAAATATAAGAATCTTTCTTGAATTTATCTTCCGTTTTTCAATCGATAATTACAGTATTGATAACTTACAATGTCTAAAATTCAAATTATTCTTTTGTTACCATTTGCCAAGACTTTAATTTCAACCATTGTTTATTCAGATACAAATACCGTATGCTTTCCTCTGACGCAAGCGACTTACAGAATACTTCTTCAGAGGTTCAATTTGAAGAGGTTAGAGGCATCGGTCACTGTCTGTGGAGAAAAAATAGAGAAAAAAAGTCTATAATATAATACAGGGTATAGTCAATTTATCTCTCTAAAACAGTCAACAAATCAGTGTTCCTTCTGATCAGGACTTCATCAGTTCAATTAGGGTTTTGCGTGGTACCGATAAACTATGGCGGGCGCTCGGTCCATATTTGATATTCAATTAAGCCTCTGGTACGTATCTTAGTAACAAGATAATAACGTTCTTAACAGTCAATTTATGTTGCCTAAAAGTAAGATTTTCCGTTTCAAACTAACGTATTTGATTTAGAATTACAGTTACAATTAGCATGAATTAAATAGTAGAAAGACATCGGCGTTGCTAAGTCGCTATCATATCTTTCCATCGGTCATTAAAATGTGTATACTTTTATGTCTTAAACAATAGCCACTTCTTGATACGCCTGTTGGGAACTACATGTAGTTGCAGTTAAAGCCTCTTGAATTTTACAGCACGCTTCGTTTACATTATGAAGTCATGGCGCTCACGACCTTGATGTTACGTAACAAAATTCTGTACAACTGCAATTTTGTCAGTCTACTCATAGTTCTTAATCAGGGTAGATAAAGGCTGTATACGAGCCAAGTGGTCCATCAAGGAGGGTTGCCCAATACGCACAAACGGAGTCCAATGGATTGGCACTCAGTCTATTGGTAATCCATTGGTGAAATGTCTCCATATGGGGATTTATAAAGACTTAGAATATTTCCGATGCCTTCAGGCCGAGTAGGGATCCATTCTACTCGTCCATTGGTACCAATGGTACGATTGGTGCCAATGGAATTGCACTTATTCCATTGGTATTCAATGGGTGAAATGCATCTGGTTATAAAGACTTAGAATATTTCCGATGGCTTCAGGCTGAGTAGGGTGCATTCTACTCGTCCATTGGTACCAATGGAATTGCACTTATTCGATTGGTGTTCCATTGGTAAAATGCATATATTGGTAAAATGTATATTCGTTCTTAAAGCGTGCGTGCCCAAATACACGCTAAATACAATGTCCTACGTACAATATGTATATTCTTCGTTATTAAAGCGTGCGAGCCCAAACACGCTAAATACAATTGATATTCTTCGTTCTTAAAGTGTGCGAGCCCAAACACACACTAAATACAATGTATATTCTTCCTTATTAAAGCGCGCCCAAACACACGCTAAATACAATTTATATTCTTCGTTCTTATGCCATTTGTGTTTGCATAAAGTGTGGGAGCCCAAAAGCGCTAAATGAATACAATATGTATATTCGTCGTTCTTAAAGTGTGCGAGCCGAATTACACACGCTAAATACAATTGATATGCTTCGTTCTTAAAGCGTGCGAGCCCAAACACACACTAAATACAATGTATATTTTTCCTTATTAAAGCGAGCCCAAACACACGCTAAATACAATTTATATTCTTCGTTCTTAAAACGTGCGAGCCTAAAGACACACTAAATACAATGTATATTCTTCCTTATTAAAGCAAGTATAAACACACGCTAAATACAATTTATATTCTTGGTTCTTATCCCATTTGTGTTTGCATAAAGTGTGGGAGCCCAAAAGCGCTCAATAAATACAATATGTATATTCTTCGTTCTTAAAGTGTGCGAGCCCAAACACACGCTAAATACTTATGCTATTTGTGTTTGCATAAAGTGTGGGAGCCCAAAAGCGCTAAATAAATACAATATGTATATTCTTCGTTTTTAAAGTGTGCGAGGCCAAACACACGCTAAATACAATATTTAGCGTGTGTTTGGGCTCGCACACTTTAAGAACGAAGAATATACATTTTCTATTTATTTAGCGCTTTTGGGCTCCCACACTTTATGCAAACACAAATAGCATAAGAACAAAGAATATAAATTGTATTTAGCGTGTGTTTGGGCTCGCTTTAATAAGGACGAGTATCCATTGTATGTATTTAGTGTGTGTTTGGGCTCGCACGGTTTAATAACGAAGAATATACATATTGTACGTAGGACATTGTATTTAGCGTGTGTTTGGGCTCGCACACTTTAAGAACGAAGAATATACATTGTATTTAGCGTGTGGTTGGGCTCGCACATTTTAAGAACGAAGAATATACATATTGTATTTATCGAGCGCTTTTGGGCTCCCACACTTTATGCAAACACAAATGGGATAAGAACCAAGAATATAAATTGTATTTAACGTGTGTTTATACTTGCTTTAATAAGGAAGAATATACATTGTATTTAGTGTGTCTTTAGGCTCGCACGTTTTAAGAACGAAGATTATAAATTGTATTTAGCGTGTGTTTGGGCTCGCACGCTTTAAGAACGAAGAATTTACATATGGTATGTAGGGCATTGTATTTAGCGTGTGTTTGGTCTCGCACTCTTTAAGAACGAAGAATATACATATTGTATTCGTTTAGCACTTTTGGGATCGCACAATTTATGCAAATACAAATGGCATACCGATCGGCTGTCTACTTTTCCATCGTTACCATTGGTACCAATGGCACCAATCGACAAGTAGTTTACGCGCGGCCCTCGTTTGTTAATATATGCAGTTTACAAATGGTATACCAATCGACTAACTACTTTTCCGTTGGAATCGAATTGTACCAATGGTACCAATGCAATGGCACCAATCGACAAGGCTACTTTGACGAATAGTGATCATTTACTAATTAATGGTACGATTGGTGAGGGTGTTTTGACGATTGGTATCTGTTTGTGTATATTGGACATGTGTGGATGGACATGTGTGCCATCAAGCCCCCATCAGGCCGAAGCTTATCCCGGTTTCCGTTGTATGAAGCGACCAGGACTATTTCTACCCCCCTGGATGGGATGCCAGTCCATCGCAGGGTTACCCCCAGCATTAAATTCGCATTAAATTCGCATTTATAAACCTGGCTGAGAAAGGCACTGTGAGAGTAAAGTGTTTTAAAAGAATGATTCCAAGCATATCCATATAGTATAATTTCAGTTTTGATGACAGATATATTTTTAAAGCGAAAATATACTTTGGCCAGTCTGGGAGATAATTTATTTATGTATGATATATGTAATAATGTATAGCCGTTAAACATGTTATTTGTTGCCACTGTTCTGAATTACTTGAACTGAATTGTTTCAGTTTTCATAAAAAAGTATAAATTATTAATAATAAAAACTGTCGAAACTGAACACGTCCAAACTTCTGCGTGGATTTGTTTTCGAACGAAGGAGACAGAATGGCAAATAGAAAATTTAAAAACAATCTTTATGACAATCTTCATACGAGGGTTTTTCCCGAAAACGAGATACATTAGCTTTTGTTACGCTCGATCAATAGGTACCTTCGTAAGCCGAGAAAAACCTAGCAATGCTCGATATTTACTGACAGTCACGCAATGTGTTATTTCTGATTTTGCGTCAACACGTTAGTCTGAGCTTCCAGGATTTCATATAAAGATCTAATAGTAGATTTAACCAAAAAAATTTTTCCTTTTTTACACCTAGATCCGCGAATTGTCATCCATGAAGCCTCAACGGGCTGGAGAGTCTTTAGAATCAAAACCAAATCTTTGGGTCGTTTGGACTGTGGCTTATGCAGTGGTGGGCACCATTGTCATTGTCGTAAACACTTTGACGTTGTACACTTGCTTAAAAACGTCATCACTCAGAACTCGAAAACACGTGATGGTTATCAACCTTGCCGTCGCTGACCTTTTGTATGGAGTTACAGCGGTTCCAGCAACGATGCTTTATCTATTGGATCCAACAATAACTTCTTTCTATGTGCATAAAGTTTTGACTACGTTTCTGAAAACAGCTTCCCTCTTCACTCTTGGCGTCATTGCCGTAGAACGAATGCATGCGATCATTTGGCCCATACGTCACCGAGTGATGAACAGTAGCGTTTACAAAACAGCTATTTTGGTAATTTGGATTCTGTCAACTCTGGTGACAGCAGTTATAACGTTACAATGGAGTGGATTTTGGCAGATAAGAAAATTTGCTCCCCTTTTATTACCAATCATTATCGGCGGGATAAGTCTCACGACAGTTACTTGTTACGTGTGCATCTGGATAACAGTTCGACGCAGAAAACAACGCAGACTTGGTGCCTCAGCAAAACAGGATAAAGCCCTGGCTGTGACTCTCTTACTGGTGGGAGGGGCCTTCTTAATCACGTGGGGCACTCCCGTATTGTATTTGTCCATTGGTGGCGTCTGCAAAAATTGCTACAAGTTATCGGTTACAGGCATCAGAGGAGTGATGCTCCTGTTTGCTGTACAGTCTTTGGTCAATCCGGTTATTTACTGCTTTCGACTGCCATCGTTTAAAGATAGTTTGAAAGCAAGAATTAAAGAAATGGCAAGTTCATCGGCTACTCAACTAAGACAACAGGTTCGTCAAAGAAAAATAACAGTTGAAACTGAAATGGGCTGTGCCTCGGAAGTTGAGGTAAAGTAGATGAAAGAGACGATTGTGATCGGTTCTGTAAGAACACACCTATTTCGTCTTCAAAATATCGTAGTTGTAGTGAGGCATGAAACTAAACAAAAATGTTTCCACTGACTAATTAAATAAATTTATAAAGGCATTGTAGCCTTCTTCAGCAACAATAGAAAACGGCGTTCAGATGTAAATGAGATACTTTTAAGAACGGGCCTATTTGAATGATCACAAAAGATGGTGGTTAAACAGAGATGTAAGGTGTTTTTCCTATTGTCATGTATGACTTCAACACATCTACTTTAATGCAAATAAGACTACAACACGTACAAACTGCAAAAGTATACAAGTTTTCAATCAAAGCATCCGACCCTGCCCAGTTATATTAGAACTAATTGTTGCTGTCTGAGCAGAGTGACAGAGGACACCTCCAACATTAAGCGCAAACGAAAGTTAATGATCAAACTTTAAAAGAAATGTAAATTTTTCCATCGAAAGAAGCTAGTCATGGGTTTGGTGAGATGCCAGAGGAGTTGGACACGGTTCGAAATGCAGCTTGGGTAAATATTGCACCACGTTTCAGTTGACGTGAGCCCTCGTGCTGTTCGGATCTCTGTTCAGGCGACTTAAAATCTGTGAAAAGCGGAATTTCTCTCGTATTTTCCATTTCAACGCCAGACTTCCAACGTTATTCTGCTCCACATTTGTTTGGGTTACCTTACCAACACGTGCTGATTGACTAAGGCAGTAAAACCGTGCTTTTTGCCGTTCGATTATGTCCATGCACCATCGATCGATCAATCCTGCGGACGCCGATGGATCTTCGCCGATATTTTCTCTATATATTTTGCTTCTTTGTAACGTATATGTCAATGCTTAGATACTGCATGTTATTTACATTTATAGCTCAAAAGTTGTCCTTTATTACTTTACACGGAACTCAAGAGAACGGTATTTGTCAGACCTGGCCTTATATCAACTTTTGGTCAGTGTATCGTTGCCTGAGATTTAGTGCATTTCATTTCTTGCACTCTTTCATTTAATAAATCCATTTAACACGGGTTCAGAACCGGTTCAAGGGAGTGAAACTACCGTGGTGGGATAATCTGTAAAACAACCAACAAAGGAAGTCATTGAAAGTGGACTACATCATGAACCACCCCGAGAGTCAACCTGCAAGCAGCACAGTAAGAAGGCTTGGAAAATAAATCTAGTAACTGCAGTTATATGTACATTTATGTTCCACAAAAACTAATTCAGTTAGACACTTTACCTCAGATCACTTCTGTTTGTAAAGTGATATTTCAGGTAATCGCTAAAATAATGATTGGAAATACAATCAAGCACGTCACAACAAACTTGGGGATGGGGGGTTACCTATACAATGAGGATTTTACGTTTATATGTTAAATGTAGGTAAGCTTGAGAACTGGTGGCAGTCACACTGCTCAGATTGACAAAATAATGTCTATTATGGTGAAAAAGAAGTTAAGACTACACAGCCAGACCACACCAAATGACTGTTCACTTCTCTTGTAAATGAGAGTCCAGGTCTGTCTTTGAAGAGGGTAGAGCATCGAAAAGCAATTTAAAGCTGGCAAATCCCCAAGAAAGCAAACGGTGATCATATGGCCATATTCTAGCCCCATTTTTACAATGCAGTAAATTCTAAATCTTAGTATAGTTAAAATCAGTGGCGGATCTAGGGGAGCCCCCCCCCCCCCTTATTTTGGGTAAAAAAAAGTATCGCAGAGGGAAGAAAAGTCGCAAGGTAAGAAAAAAAAACCCTCCCCTTCCTTGGCTCAAAGTCGTGATCCGCCACCGAAAATATATAAAAAAAGAGACAATTGGATCATGCTGTCCATCACTTTACCTGTATTTCATGTAGGGTTCAAAATTGATTTTTATGTCCAGTTGTACCTAAGAATGGCCTTTTGTCCCTGACATTAGTCCAATTCCGGTGTTATGTCATCTCAGAATGAAAACATTGTAATGCAATGTTTCATTACCGGCCGTACACTGGAGTCAAATCATTTTTGCTTCACATTAAGTCCATAGACTCAGGACAGAATAGTGCTTGCTATTCACCTGCGAGCCAGCCAACTAGAATGCGCAGAAAGTTCTATTCGCTTGTGTGGTATAGACTAATGATCGATGATTTTAAGATTTTCACAGTAATTGAAAGAAATATGGACTATTGTGTAGTGTTTATCTCGATTTTTTGAAATATTGCCTCGAAAAATCAGGCTGTCCTGAAAACATCCATCAACTATCCTATAATTCTAGGCAACCCAAACTAGCACTGATTTCAAACCTGGCCTTGTGCCAATATGAGATAAGTACTATGTACACGGGTAAGAGAGATGGCAAAAAAAAGCGAAGTAAACGGGTTAAGCTAAAGAACGAATTTAGCCTTGACGATATGCAAGTTTCAGGGGCATTTCTTTTGCCAGTGAAGGTTGCTAATGAACCGTATATACGGTCGTTTCAGTACAAAGTGTTGAATTCTGTTCTGTTTACTAATGACCGCCTGTGTAAAATAGGATACGTTTCTAATCCCAACTGCACCTTCTGTCATCAGCTATCAGAAACGATATCCCATATTTTGTTCGGTTGTTCTTTTTCAAATTCTTTTTGGCATGACGTTAATGAAAAATTTTTGAGTAAAATCAAGAGTTGCAGAAGCCTCTCGCTTACATATTGCGATGTTATTGTTGGGTCTTAGGAGGAGGAGATGGATATATTTAATTATATAGTAATTTTAGGAAAATCTTTCTTGTGGACTTGTCGATGTAAAGAAATATTACCTTCNGTTGCTAACGAACCGTATCTACGCTCCTTTTTCAGTACAAAGTGTTGAATTCTGTTCTGTTTACTAATGACCGCCTGTGTAAAATAGGATACGTTTCTAATCCCAACTGCACCTTCTGTCGTCAGCTAACAGAAACCATATCCCACATTTTGTTCGGTTGTTCTTTTTCAAATCCTTTTTGGCATGAGGTTAATGAAAAAATTTTGAGTTAAATCAAGAGTTGCAGAAGCCTCTCGCTTACCTATTGCGATGTTATTGTTGGGTCTTTTGAGGAGGAGATGGATCTATTTAATTATATAGTAATTTTAGGAAAATCTTTCTTGTGGACTTGTCGATGTAAAGAAATATTACCTTCCTTGAATCACTTTTTAAAAATTTTGGTAATTAAACATGAAACTGAAAAGCATATATACTTCAAATTGAATAAAACGAATTTGTTTAAAGAAAAGTGGAAGATTTTTGAGGAAACAATTTTATCTAATAATTAAAGTCGGAAAACGCTACCATTAAGGAAAATCGTCAAGTTAAATAAGTATGTAGAAAAGAATTTACATTATCTATTTTCATAACTAATTCAATATGGTGTCGTTGTTAACTTTTGTAACCAAACTTTGTTCATTCTTCTGTAAATTAATTGTTGAAATAATAATTGTAATTGTTGTAATTGTGGAAATAAATAAATTTAAAAAAACTGAAATTCAATTTGACTGTGTAATTGTATTGTAATACATGTATTGTAAGTAGTGCAAGTTAATGTAGTGTAAGCATCGTGTAAGAAGCAAGTATAGTGTAAGTACTTATGTAGGTATAATATGTAGTGTTGTAAGCAGTGTAAGCGACAAAAAAATTAATTTTCCTTTTTTTAGTAAGGGTTCGAACAATTAATGTAGCCGAAAAATAAAAAAAAGCATTGTAAGCAAACGCGCTATATATTAATTAGTGTTATTGTATTGTAATAAATGTACTGGAAGTAGTGTAAGTTTTAAGCAGGAGCGAGGGGGTGACTCTATTGTTTTCCGGTATTGATTCGTGACAGACTCATCGCTACCAATGTGACGTCACATAGCAACGAGCGAGCGCCTCGAGTAGCCTATTCAGATTAGGCCATTGAAGAAGGACAACAGAGGTTAAGAAAGACAAAAAAACAGGCCTAATATCGCTTTTGCTCACTGACTTAGTGTAGGTGTGTACAGTTTGTTGTTATCTTTTGTCTGTGTGCATTATCTGGTTTAGTTTTGTGCGCGCGTTATCGTGTATTCTTGTTGAATTTTGTTGCGGGTAAGTGGCGGGACCGCCATCTGAAAAACGGGACGAGAGAAGTCCACGTAAAATGTTCCCGTTTTCTCTCTTAAATGTCTTACCAATAGTCTTGTCAATAGGAGGTTTTATGCGTCGATAGTATACGTCGTTTAATCCGCGTGGATCTCTGTGTCGACTGAACCAGCCGTTCCTCTCATCAATCCGTTTGAGTGTTGAGATGTTGTTTATTTCTTTATTTCCACCAAAATTTCCCTGCGATGTGATCGATTTTTGTCTGTTTTGGGAGCACTTTTGGTGGTAGTTATCAGGCCTTTAAATGCAATTCTTTGTGTTTCAACTTCGTTTGCCTTTTGTGTTTTAATTGTGCCTGCTGTATGGTGA